CTTAATTAGGCCTTTGGAGCAAGACCAGCCTTGAGCTTCTGAATGGTTGCAGCATCAGTCTTGAAAGAGATAGCCAACACATTGTCATCAACACCTGTGGCGAACAAAGTGTTGGGAAGCGACACCGTGCCGGCGTTAGCACTCCCGAACGCCGATATCGCCAGCGCAAAATTCTGCGGATCGGAGTTGTACTGGAAGTGCACCAAACCCTTGGGAAACACGAAAATGTCGCCGGCCTGCAGCGACTGAGTGAACAACTTGTTAGTGGTGTCGATGAAGCCCACGTCCAGAGCGCCTTCGAGTACTAAGAGGAGCTCGGTGGAGCGGGGATGAATGTGCGGCGGGTTGGTAGTCCCGGCCGGGTACTGAAGAACTGCGTAGGACACGCTTTGGCCGTTGAGAGCCGGGAATTCCGTGATGCCCACCTTTGAGACCTTGAAGGTCGAAGAAGGTTCTTCTCCGACGAGGGATCGCATGCCGGTAAACGTGAAGAAGTTTCCGTCAATTCCGCCTTTGACTAATTCTGGTGGGACTACGAAATCTGTGATTATGTCCGGGTCTGCGGCCATTGTTGTTTGAAGAAATGCGAAAGAGAAGATGATAATAAGAAGCGAGAGGAACGTGAAAGAAGGAGATATTGAAGCCATGCATGCAGTTTGAAAATTATAATTTTACGTACTTTATTGTACTTCTCTTCGTAATAATATGATCCTGCTTTGGGGTTCTGTGAACAATGCTATTTATAGAATTATATGAGACAATAAGGTTTGGATACTTCCAAGTATATGTATATAAAAATTAATAAGTTTGTATACAATGTGGGTTTGGACGCTTTTGTGCAGGCCTGTGAGGGAGATTACAATGTTGTGTTTGTGTTGCAGATTTATATATAGTAATACGTGCAGATGCTTTTTTCAGCTGTTTGGTTTAATTTGTTTTTGTTGCCATTAAGAAACGTTGCGTATCTCTTTGAACAACTTCAACAAGAGAGATATGCACTCGGATTCGAGCTCATTTTAATATCATCATTTTATTATTTATGACTTGAATGTGTATTGAGCTCAAACCCGAGTGCATAAAGGTAATATCATCATTTCGGATTTGAGGGATCGGTTATGGCGGCCGACTGTGTCTTAAAAAATTCGATAGGTGTCTTTTAAATATCTCTTTAGTTTATTTTATATTTTTGTGTTTGGTGTGTACGTAATAAAGGCACGTTGACGCTATTCCTTAGTTGTTGGTTGCCGGCGTGTTTTCGGCTTTATTTTTTAATAACGGAGGTGGTTTTCCACTTTCCAGCTTTGGTTGTATTTCTCACTTGCTTAGGCTGGTTGCCGATGGTGTGGGTTTTTTGGTCATGTTAGAATTTTATTTATGTCGTGTTGTTGATGTCTTCTCTATCGAGGGGTTGGTGATCTATCCCTCCAGAGCTTAGAAGGTTATCTTAATGGGAGGGATTTTTGCAAATCAAGCTCTAGGTGTGCTCGTTCTTGATGTGCCGAGATTTTTTCTTTTTTACGGGCCTCAGATGTACGTCTGTCCCTCTGATGAATTATTAGCCTTGTATTATGTATTTTATTTCTTTGTTTTTTTTAAAAGCATCTTTGTTTTTGTTTAAATGCAAGTTCCCTTAAAAAAAGATTAATTTCAAAAATTCTCCATGAACTATGACCCTTGTAACACTTTGCCTCCTAAATTTTAACAAGTAACATCCATTCCCCCCAAACTTTATTCCGTTAACAAGTTTTATCATTCTATTACTGTAACGACCCCTCACGTATCGTCATAGTTATCTTAACTTTCAAACATTTACCTCTTAAATAATGCGGAAAATAGTTAAGCTTGAAATACTTTACTTTGAATGATTTAAAGAAAACCTATAATTTTTTTTAAAAAAAAACATATTATAATTTTAAAAATTTTAAACTTCCTAAAAAAAATAATAATCTTTCGATTCAACTTAATTATTAAAATCTATACCGTGAAATAAACTTAAAAAAATCTAAACTACTCTTCAAATCAAAACCACCATAAACCAAAGTTCCAAAACAATGAACAGTAAAAATTAAAACTTTATTTAAATTTAAGCACTTTCATTCCATGATCATTTCTTCAGTGTTCCTATCACGCACCACTTGCATCCGCTCTAAGATTCTCCATTGCTACATATTACCCTTTAGATTGTCTGCAACATGAAATAACTTATATAAGCAAGGGCTTAGTAAGACACTTAATTCTCACAAATGTAAATGAACATTTTTATTCATAAACAATAAATGTCATCATGAGAATAATTATTTTTGAACATATTTTAACTTTAAAATCCATCATATATTGGGTCTGACGTTGTACCATCATAGCGCGCTAGCCACATAAGGCATGGGGTAGCAAATCTCATACCAACCGTGACAATAAGACCATTCACTGGTCACCGTCAAGGGTGTACAATGCCATTTAAAAACATCAAAATACATATATACATTTTTCTTCAAAATGTCATCATAAGAGAATTATTAAAAGCGTCATAACATCATCATAAACATCAAAATCATATACTTCTCAATTATTCAATTCATGTTGCAGGTGAGATTGTACTTACTTGAGCGCCTTACTTAACCTTTTTAAATTTCTCAACGGTGACGCGACGAATGAGGTCCACGGGTGTTCGCCTCTAGAACTATTCATGCCATAAATCATAAATAAGATTACTAAAAAGCCTTAACAACTCATCAAACACATTGATCACGTTAAAACAGCGTCTAATAGACCATTATCATCATTCATTAACATCAAGACATAAAAACCTATCAATTACACAAAATCACAAAACTGGCAGCCTGACCATTACTCCTTTAAAAAGTCATAACAATTCACAAAGAACTCTAAATGACCTGAAACTAATTTTAAATTAAAGTAGACATCTAGAAATTTTCAGTGGTATCTAATTTACTAAAAATGGAGTTCGTTTGGTCTCTCAAACACTGTTTTAAAATTAGAACATGAAACTTAGAAAAATTCCAGCACTCAAACTAGGACGAAAATTCACCAAAAATTCTATAAAATACAAAACCATCATCCTCAACATGTATAAACAGCAATCCATTTATTATTCAGCCCTATAACATGTTTCTAATACTTAAAGAAATATAAATACGTCCATATATATACATCTTATACCTACAAAATGATGATCAAAAGAATCACATGACCCAGTCATATAAATGATCATAAATAAATCCTAGCATGTTTCTAGGTTGTACAAGAACCAATAATTCCATTATTAATTCAATTACCAAAATCACCAACCCCTATATCATGGTTTCTAGGAAGATACAAAATAAAACAATCAAATAACAACTATGACTAACATAGAGTCTAATAAAAACCTACACTCAAAATCATAGAATCAATAATTTAGAATCATACCTTCAAATCTCCAAATTTTATCTTGAGTGATTGATGACTTCAAAAAGGATTAAGAGGAAATGAGTTTGGTGGCTGATAAAATAAAAGTTCTCTTGTGATGTTCAAGAACGTGAGAAAAGAGGAAGAGAGAAAGGATTAGGAAAAAGGCAAATTGACAAAACTAATAGTCAGTCACAATTAGAAATGATGCGGCAAAAAAAAAAAGAGAAGGGAAGCAAAACTAATGTTTCGTTATACTGTTATTGACTCAAAAGACATAAAGCGATTCCTCACCCTTAGCTATTCAACATAGAATCAATTATCAGCAATAAAGTGCAATAACATAACTATAGTCGACTATTGATGCTTATGTGTGTGTGTATGTTTGTTTCTTAATATAACATATAACCAATTTATATTTAAAACTTGACAAATATATTTAATATGTATTTTGTAATACTATATATCTGTATAATCTATTAATGGTATTAAATCAACACACATATCTATCAAATCATCATATAAAATTTAACAATTTGGCATGAATTTGTTCTTACACCACGAGTCTTCGTCGCATTCACCTGTAAAAATAACTCAAAGTGATGTTAGAATACACTAAATATAATACCATAACATACTTCAAGTTAATTCCTAACGTCTATTTCTAGGAATTTTATCAGTTAGAAAAATGGGTGTTACAATTACAATGAGTGACGGAATTGTCACGTGTCACTTATTTAGTGAGAATTAAAAGCGTAATTACGCTGATATCCTCCTAATCAGATAATTCTCCATTTTTGTTGAAAAAATTTATCATTTTCGTTCCCATTTTGCTTCTTTTTTTCCTCACATCGTTCATCCATGGCAAGTTCCACCGTATCTACCTTATCCTCCTCCCCCTCCTCCTCCTCTTCCAGGCTAGAACGATTTCAACAGATACTTGAACAAGAATCTCGAAAACGGTGTCATCTTCTTCGTCGTCGCCGTCGTGACTATTGATTTCCCCACCGCGAGGCCTCCTCTGGCCACCGAGATCGGTAGCGTTATTGCATGAATCCCTATTTTCAGATACGAACTATCCATTTCTTCTTGTAATACTCTTGTTTATGAAATTCTTCTGTTTTATTTGGGATTTCTCTGTTCCTTACTATTTACGAAGCAAAGAAATGTGGAAGATTGTAATTGTATCAGTGTTAGACAAGCCTAACACAATCAAAAGGCAAAAATGAAAGAGAGAGAAAGGGAGAGAGAGCTGATTATTATGCAGAGCAAGAAAAGGAAAAGCTTGAGTTTTCCTTAGATTTTTCTTTTTGGGGAAAAAGTTCTAACCCTAATACAAACAAAAAAATCAACAAAATGGGGTTTTTTTAACGCATTTGAGTTTTTTTAATCGCTATTTAATAAGCTAGGGTTGTTGCATGTTAATTTATGATAATACCCTCCTCATATGGGTCATGTACCTGACACGTGGTGATTTCTGTCACTCATTGTAATAGAATGATAAATCTTGTTAACGGAACAAAGTTCGGGAAGAACGGATATTACTTTTTAAAATTTGGGAGACAAAATATTAAAAATGTCATAGTTCGAGGAAATTTTTGAAATTAATCAAAAAAAAAAACATTATACAACCAACGTATTCTCATAGAACAGTATAATTCGTTTTTATTTTTATTTTTTTTATCAAATGCTTTGTTTTGTTTTCGCTTTTTATTTATTTATTTTATTCTCTATTAATAGGACGGCCAATATCTTCTCAAGCCTTTCATTTGGATTTTTTTTATATTTTATTTCATTTTAGCCGTGCACTTTTTGCTTACTCGGCATTTTGCTTCCTGTCTTTTGTATTTTTCTGGATTATCTGTGATAAAAACGGTTTAGCTTGTTATCGTCTAATTTATATTTGTCTTCTAATTAGAAGGTAGGCTTAGTCTCACAATAAATTTTTAAACAATGCGTAAAGAGGACAAAACTATGGGTGCGTTTGGAATTGGTTCCAAAACGTTTTTATTTTCTGTACGAAAATGAAAATGAAAACGTTTTTAGTTTCATTTTTGAATTATTTTTAAAAATGCGTTTGGTAGTTTTATTTAGAGATTGATTTCAGTTTTAAAAAAAACTGAAACTGCGTTTGGTGGTTTAATTTTTAAAAACATGTAATAATATATTAAATAAATAATATTATTAAATATATTATATAAATAATATTATTAAATATATTAAATAATAATATATTAAATAAATATATTAAATAAACATATATAATACAAAAACGGTTTCAGAAAAGAGGGAAGAAAATGAAAAAGAAAAAAAAAAGTGAAATCCGTTTTTCAGAAAACAGAAAACGAAAACAAGAAAATGAAAACACATTTTTTTCGTTTTCTGATTTCCACAAAAAGACAAAAACGTTTTTGGTTTTGTTTTTTAAAAAAAATTACACCAAACACGTTTTTAACACCCGTTTTCATTTTTTTGCTTTGAAAACCGTGAAAAATGAAAACGAAAACGCAAACAAACGGGCCCTATACTTTTTGTCCTCTATGACGACTTTTTTTTTTTTTTTTTTTTTGGGGGTACTATTTATTACTTTCTTTCAATATTGACAAGGCGTAGATTGACAAATAATGTTATTGCTTATACTAGTAGGCCATCAAATATGCTTTACAATTCACCTTCAAAACAAATATGCTTTACAGGTGTAGTACTAACTTCCCTACTGGATTAGTAAGAGACAAGCGCCTACAGACTAAAGGTTATTGGCAGTAACCCATCAGGTTAATCTCATGACTAACATACAAGTGGGTTATTCTAAGGTGATTGTTGTCGATGTATTTGCCTGATATTTTTTTCTCGACAATTTTTAGAAATACCAATGGAGGCCCCTTTTATTTCTACTCGTTAATATTAGCTCATATATTTTTATCTTTTAAATTAGAATTAATCAATAAATATAAATTTTTAAAAAGAATACTTTTAGTAAGTCAGGTTGTTAATTTACCAATTCATCCCAAAAGCTTAAGCTATTAGGAGGTACGCCAATAATAGTTTTTATATTTTAACACTCTCCCTCACGTGTGAGCTAGACAATGAACAATCGTGTGAGTAAATTAATTAGAAAGCCCAATACGTAAATATTTAAGTCCGAGATATATATATTAAATAGCCAATACATGATGACAATTTAAATGAGGATAAAAAGTGTAATTACGGAAATTTAAATTCAGAACCTTTAGCTCTAATACTATGTTAACTTACCAATTCATTCTAAAAACTTAAACTATTAAGAGGTGTGTCAATAATAGTTTTTATATTTTAACACGGGTACTTGAGAAAATAGACTCTGTAATTTTTTCTTTTTTTCTTTTTTCTCCACCGTCGGTCGGTCAATATATTACTAAGTAATTATTTGGACAGTTAATGACCGATACGAAGGATACACTTGAGCGGGACTTTTTGCGGTATATATTATTGTCAAGAGAATGTTATCATCTAAAATGGTTGCCACAACTCCATCCCATATTTAATCGAAAGGGCTTTTGAGACAAATGCCAAGAATCGTATTCAATGTATTGCTTTTTTCAAGTCACTGAAGGTCGCATGCCATAATTATTGGAGGTATCCCGGTACGACTATATTTTAGTAGGCTATCGTGTTACGGGTGGTAATATATCGCAAGATAAACAGTTTTCCTTTTGAAATACTAAACAAGGAGGAAGAAAAACAATTTGAAAGACTCGCCAAAATACCTTTGTCGGACGGAATCTAAATAGATCTAGCAACAAAAACTCAAGCTAGAGTGTTAATCGAGGTAATGCTTGCATTGTGAATATGGGCCATTACATGCTCAATATACACCAAACCATTATCTTTATAAAATTTGTATTGAAGTAATTACATAACATGTATATTATGAAAGCCTTGAGTTTAACCACAAAACAAACGATTACAAAACAACTCCAACGTCAGCTCAATATACCAAAAAAAAAAAAAAAAGAGTTTAATAATATGTTTACTTTTTTGTCGAAAATAATAGAGGCATCAAATCAGCAAATATCGAACCAAACAAATTAAGAACTAGTTTTGTATTTTATAAACTTTGGCCCGCATTAAAAAAAGAAAGCATAAAGATGTGAACAAATTTGTGTATAAACTTTGTATCTCCTTACATGTCCTTGTATTTTTCACTTGAGCTCAATAAAATTAATAGAAATAAACTCCAAAACCATTAGATTTACTCGAGTTAGATATTTTGAATAAGAAAATTTAATTAATTAGATTTAGAAGACTTTGTTTAGATTGGAAACTGTTAGGTATTTTTATTAGTTGGTAATTTATTGGCAATTTTGTAAAAATTTAAAAAATATGTTCAAAAAGATTTCGTATTGCAGAAGAAGATTCGGAATAAGATTTGAAGTATTAAAGTTGTAGATTTTATTGAGTTGAGATATGAAGAGATAAGGATAAGACCATGGTCAAAAGAATATAAGATATTAGTTATTTGAATTTAAATGAGATTCTAGAAAGAGATAAGGATAAAAAAGATTATGTATTTTATTGTGATGATTATCCAATTTTTGGCTTTTGGTTGGATTCGAATTTCAATTGAATTCGAATTGCAATGGAAGATTGATTTGACAAGAAAAATATATATATATAAATATATATATATATATATTGGGCATTTGGAATTCGGGTGAATTTTGAAATTCAAAGTGGCTTGCATTAGATGTTATTCACATGGAGACAATGTGATAACTTAACCATTGTGAAGATATTGTGCACGTTGAGATAATAAAGATGCGCATGGAGATTTGAAGTTTAAATTATATTTGAAGAATAAAGTTAGTGCTGCAAATATGGGATAATTGAAAAAAAATATCCGAATAGAGCAGTTGGTTAAAGAAGAGATAATTATTAGATATTGATGAAGTTATATGAGGTTGTTGTGAAATACAAGTTCTATATAAATGGCTTTGGGATGCTCATTTGTGGTATGGATTTAATAGAATATCTACAGAGAAAAAGTCTGTGAACTTGAGAGCTTATTATTGAGAAAATATTCAGAGAGACGTCTGTGAGTTTTTATTAGTTATTGAGATCGTTCTTCAGGAGATAGATTTGTTGCTTTCGGGAGGATGCTATGCCAATCGAATAGAGTTCGTCAGGTGAATAGAAGTCGTGTGGTGCACGCTAAACAATCACTGTGGAGATTTGTCACAGCGGTGTCATTGTCTAAAAGGGAGTTCTTAAGTGAATAAGTCAGTCCAGTGTCTGTAATTTTTAGAACATAGTGAACTGTTTATTATCTGAACGTGACCCCGCAGATGTAGGTGTGCACACCGAACTGTGATATCATATTGTGTGTTTTTTTACTTCCTACACTTTATTATGCTCGAGTAACTAAACGTAATTAACTTAAATCTTAATTAATTACATAGTATTTCGGATAATATTTTAACATCATCTGAAATACCAAACATAACATACGACCTAACATAAACTATTCTAGATCTTTTATTAGAATAGTTAACGAGCATATATTGAGGTCTCGTTCATTTCATCGATTTGAGTTTTCAGTTTTAGGTTTTTACAGTAAAAAATTATCAAAAAATGTCACATCTAACTTTTTTTACTACAGTAAAAAGTTTTTAAAAAATATCACATTTCAACTCAAATTAAAAATTTAAATTCACAAAATGAACAAGACCTGAATCGTTAGTACCCATATATCATTTCCGCCCCTTTTCGGCGTGGCGGAACATGCTCGAGAAAATGCGTTGAATACATGTCATATAATAATGAGCCAAAAAAAAATATCTCCATTTTGATTGTCTCAGTCTCACACGCGTCCACATCTTTTCCATGAGAAACCAATGCCTTTTTACGTCCCATCTCAAAACGCAGGTCATGCCACTGCCATCAACCCCATTTGTACAAAGTCAAAAATAAAAAAGAACGTCCAAGAATAAATAAAATAAGTTAAAAAAATGCAAAATACAAATGAGCATCCCAGAGCCATCAACCCCACTTGTACAAAGTCAAAAATACAAATGGACAATGTTGAAACTTAAGAACGCGTTTAAAATTTATTTTAAAATGATTTTATTTTTATATAAAAATAAAAATAAAAATATTTTTAATTTTATACATAAATTATTTTTAAAAATGTGTTTGGTAGTTTTATCAATAGATTATTTTTAATGTAAAAAAAATTATTAATGTCTCACTTTCTCTCTCTGCTCGAGAGAGGAGAAAACGAAAATAAAAAATAAAAAACAACTAAAAGTCGTTTTTCATTTTTCTCTCATTTTACACTAAATCAAAAAATCATTTTCATTTCTGTTTTTTTCTTTATTGCGCCAAATACCGTTTTAAAAACGTTTTTTTTCTCAAAAAATGTGAAAAATAAAAACAAGATCAATTCTAAACACGGTCTAAAGATCTCATGTATACTTTGGCTTGACAAATGTGCACCCCAGAAACCCTAGAGAAGCATATTTTAAAATCTTCCTCTTATCATTACTGAACCACAAAAAATGTGAACCAAAAGCTAGCATGAGACGTAGACAATTCAGTTACCATACAAATATTAATTCATGACGTGTATCCTAAAGCTCCCACCCGTTTTAGCTAGCTCTTTTTGATCTCTACTGATCTCTTATTAACTCTTTCC